ACGCTCTCAGGCAAAGAGTGAACTGCACAAAAAGCCACCTCCCAAAGGGAGAAGGCAAGCCCATTCATTTCTCACGGCCTTGTCAGAGAGCGGAGGAGGAATGCAAAGCCTCCCTTTATACTCCGTAACCTTCCCTAGACCCTCATGTGGGTTTATCGTTCAAATTCACATTGCCTGCAGAACTTGGAAAACCTAAGCAGACAAATTATTTTCAGAGGGTTATGGGTCAGTGGCATCCTCAGGTGCTAAGAAGAATCTCTCTGTTCTAAGGAACAAATGTTCAACTTCAGCTGAACTATTTGGGGTCTGTGAGTGTGTGTGTGTGTGTGTGTGTGTGTGTGTGTGTGTGTGTGTGTGTGAGAGAGAGAGAGAGAGAGATGATTGATATTCTACCCTTCAGCAATGCCTGAGGTAGTTAGTAAGAAAGTCTGCCTAAGCATCTTTAAATAAACTGTGTTTTCTGTTTTTCTTCTTCTTCTCCTCCTCCTCCTCCTTCTTCTTCTCCTTCTCCTTCTCCTTCCTCTTCCTCTTCCTCTTCCTCTTCTTTTTCTTCTTCCTCCTCCTTCTTCCTTCTTCTTCTTTTTTTTTTTTTTTACCATATGTATAAGTCCTGTGTTTGTATGGGAGGCAAGGGGACAGTGGGAGGCAAGAAGCCTAGGAACGCAATAGTGTACTTCCAGCTTCGTGTTACATTGCCCCAGAGCTTAATTTATAGCCACAGTGTAAGCACGTGGATAAGAGGGTACCAGTGGCTTGTATAATAAGCAACATGATGCGAGGCCAGAGAGGATACTATAACGGAGCAAATGAGGAAATGGTCGAAAAGCATAGATGTGCTGAGTGAGGAAGCTAAAAGTTGAAGAGTTGTAGAGGCTTTTTGTCTTCTCTGCCATCTTCTTTCATGTAGTTTGATAAGACATGGATAGCGTAAGAAAGAAATATACACCACCGCTTTCTTGAAACGGTGTGCAACCGAACAAACGGTGTGCAACAAAACTTTAAATGTTTTGTAATGTTAGTGTCTATTGAAAACAGCCAAATGTGGTGCTGGAATGTCACTGCAAACACACACGGGTACTGGCCCCAAGCAGCACCCTTTCTCGCCCTCTGCTCACCTCCCCAATAACAGCAGCAGCACCAAGAACAAAAACACAACAATCGAGTTTAACGTTAGAGGAGGAGAAAAAACGTCTTGGAAAAAACTGTCAGTGCTTAAATAGAAGGAAAATCAGAGAAAATCCAACTTCATTATGAACAGGGCTAACCTTGGTTTCAGGAACCAGAGGCCATACTTCATTCTTTTTTTAAAAAAATGGAATCTTTGAAGTGGGCTCCTAGTAAAATTGGTGGTGGATGTGGAGTGGATATCATTTGCTTTAATTTAGGGGTGGAGAAACAGTTTACAGTGCTCCAAACTGGAAGTTAATATTAAGGCAAGGAGACATGTAATAAGTGGAAACTTGGCCACAATGATAGGAAACAAATGAGAGTTATAAATGGAACGTCCCCCTCAGTCTGGAAAGCACATACTAATCATGTAGTAGAGGGATCTTTCTTGAATTCACAGGTTTTATTGTGTGTGTGTGTGTGTGTGTTTATTACTTAAACACATGACTTGTAGGACTGGAGATGTGGAAGTCAAGAATTCATAATTATCAGATATTACTTAATGTAGGGAAATTATTCTTGAGAGTATAGATTTAAGTGTGGGATATTTGTAACCACTCAAAACCAAAAGAACAAGAAAATGAGGTGACAAAACATACAGCATTTTAGTAACGGAAGAAACATATGTGGCCCAATATACCTGTCTTAATTTTTTATGTAAAAACTTTAGCTTCACCTTTCTCCCAAGTACCAAGTAAAACACAGATTAACAAATTGTTTAATCTATTTAACAGCAAACAATTGCTCAGTCTCTATTTTTCTCCACTGAAATGATTTCATCTTCATAATTGGGTAAAAACAGAATAAACGAAATGAAATCCAGTACCACAAATAATAGTTAAATGTTAATTGGTAGCATAGAGACAAAGTAGAACAGGCAATATTTAGACTTCTTCTTAAGAAATACTAGTTGCCTTTTTTTCTCTTGAACTTAATAAACTTCTAGCTAATGTGCCTTTCCTCATAATGTTTTCCATATGTTTATTATTCTTTTAGAAAGACCAAATTATTTACCTAATTTTTACATCAAAAGCATCCATTTTTTTATGTGGACTCTTTTTATATTGACACATTTAAATGCCACCAAGCAACAAGTCTTTATTCATGGAATTTGTTTTTGAGTTTCATGAGAAACTTTTTTTTTAATTCTCATTGCTGGCTAGATAAGTCTTTCTGTTTCTCAGTTTTATATTTGTAAGAGAAGATGTAATGATCTCTGCTTTCCTGAATTTTGCAAAACTGAGATGAGATGCAAAATTTTTAAAATGACACCTTGATAACAGTGCACTTGATTACACTTGTTTGGATTGTTGGATTTTCAAGTGTATATATCCAAGGCTCCTGAGCCACCACAGTCTGTGGGAGAAAGATGAACAAAGTAGCTTTCTATATTTTTTCCAAGTGGTTGGATTGCTCACATCAGTGATAAAGAATGGGTAAACATTCATATACTTTTGTTTGCTTTAGTTTATCTCCAGCATCTTTTTATTAATATAAACTTGTCTTTAATTTTGGCATCAAGAGATCAACTGGTTTTTGTCTTCATGGATAATATTAATATAATCCTCATCTATTTCTAGATATCCACTGATATTTAATGGATAGTTGTAAAAAGCTGCTTCTGAGGTAGATGGCATTTTAAACTGACATTCAGTGAATCAAAATTTTAAAGTTACACATGTAAAAAACTACTGTAATGAGCTAAAAATGAATGTAGTTAATCTTTATGTAACAGAATTAGATTGTAAACCTGAGGCTCACCAAAAAAAGAAAAAAAAAAAACACTTCTAAAATATTTTTATGTCTCTCCCATGGCATTTCATCCATCCTGATCAAATTGGCCAACAGTATAAAGATTGATTATCAGATATATTCTATTGGAAAAGTAAAAAAATAAAATAAAAAAGAAGAACACAGAATTCATCATCAGAAGATTTTGTTTTGTTTGTCCTTTTTAATCATGGTTTACCAGTTTAGGTTTCTTTAATGATGGCTTCCCCATCTATATCAATGGCTTAAATTTACAGTTGGTTGATGCTGTAGAATAGAGGGGTTGGCATGGGGTACAGCATACCTTGTGATCTCCATTTCCACAAGTCATAGCTCACTGGATTAAGGGAAATCTTTAACATGCATGTGATAATTAGAACATCTTTCCTGGGCCCCCGGAGCTGAGTACATCAGAGGTGAAGCCCTGGAGAGAGGATGAGCACAGAGAGGCGCAGTGAAGGCCCCTGCAACTGAGAGACATTAGGACACAGAAAACTTTCCACTCCCCACAGGGCCAAGTGTGGTGTTTACAGTTTCGTTTTCTTGAAATTCCTCACTGTCCTCCCAATGGGTACGTCTGTTTTTCACTTGAGACTTGTGAGGAAGTTTGCCTAAGACACTGACTTTTCCATTATCCATAGAATTGATACTGGGAAAATGTTATATTTTTCTGGATTTCCATCTCCACATAAGCAAAAGAAGTCTGTTACACCAGAAGATACATCAAAGTATATGTTCATACTTCTTTCATGAAACTTTCCTCACTTCAAAGCAAATACAGTGAACCAAAATATCTTCTTTGCAATTCTTGGAGATTTTGATTTAATTAGTGTGATCATATTAAATCCAAAAATTACATTCATGGATATCTCTTTGTTTTTATCACTGATTGCACCAAGTGAGACATCAGTCCTGAGTTTTAGCTATTATTTCATTTTTTTTAACATAATAATTCAAGTTTAGAATCAGGAGGGCAGACTTATCCTGATTAATTTTTACCTTTTTTAAAAAGTAACCATTCTTAATTTTAAAATGAATTTTCATTGCTGTTAACACTTTCAGGAAAAACAATAACCTCATCTATTCAAACTATCATTTTCTTCTCAGTTTAATCTTTGTTCTCTTTAGGACTTAACTTGGCTTTTTTTTATTATGGTAGGGATTGGGGCCAGGAAATGATATGATTCTTCCCTTGGCATAAGAGATGGAAATTTCAAAACTCATTACCTTTTTGAGCACCTCTCTTACCCATTCTATAAATGTCATTTTATTATTTTAATCTTATTTTCAATATCTTGTTTTCAACAAAGTACTTGCCACATCTCTCTCAACCCATGTGGCTTTAATTTAGAAATTGTGTTGTTATGCCATGTTGTTTGTATAAAACACATTAAGCTTTTCATTTTCTAATTTTTTTCATGTTTCTTTTTTTTTTCAATTTTTTGTCTCTTGAAAGTTCATATTTACAAGGAAATTTTATGTACATATACTCTTGCCCCTGAATGTAATGTAACACAGACCTTTTCCTTTGGAATTTTGGGTTGAAATTAGCTGGTTTGGTATTGAACATAAACTATTGTTCTCATGATAATTTTTTTTAACTTAATGTGATGTAACCAGTTAACTAACAATAATTATATGCCCAGCGCTTAAACACTCCCTACACACATACTTGGAACCAATGATAACTGTAAGAGCCAAATTTAAGACTCTCTTAGCTTTATTGTTTGAACAACTTTCTCATACGTTACCAAAACATTTCTAGTTCTGGGTTTAAACTAAATGGAAGTAATATACATTGTTAGATCACATTGGCTCATTCTTATAAAATTTCTTCTCAGTTTAGAATACCAGACTTATTTAATAGTATCAGTAATGGTTAGGTTCAAGACTGAAAGACAATGGAGGATGAGGAGGATTTAATAATTGCAAGTCAAATACTTGGGATCCCATCTGGAAGTGGCAAAGTTTTTTTCCATTTGTTTATAAATATGTCTTCAATCCACAGCAGAATATATAATAAAAATTATTTCTAACAATTGTGATCATTTAAAATTGTTTTAGTGATTATTTTTAAATACTCATTTAACCCTAACCTAAAAAATATTTATTGGCTATCTTTTGTGTAATAGTGTCTCTGCTGTTAGGTATAGTGGATAAGAAAGTGTAATGAAACCCCATATCTTTCCTCAGTAATTTTTCGATCTATCAAATAAAATACGAAAATCATGTCCAGTTTCTTAGACAAGAAGTCAAGTTATACTCATCCAAGTTACAGACTTAAATTATACTGATTTAAATTATTAAGAATCTGTATAAATATGATAATTGCAAAAATAAAGTTATGGTTACACACTTCCACTAAAGACATTTAAGATTATAAAAAGAAATATTTTTGTAATAATTGTATCTTTTTCTGATGGAACTTTTAATGAATTACCCAAGAAATATAAAAATCACAGTAGCCTGTGTCATATTAACCCAAAATATAATTTTGTATTTCATTTTCATCCATTGTATTGAAAAATATCCTATCCTGCTTTATAGTTTATACACACACCATACATATTCTTTACTATGTATATAATTTAATCCAAGCAGTCAAATCTCCTAGTACTGGGGAGGATGCATACAAGAGTAAATTCTCCAGAGTAACCTTGGAGAGTTTCCAGAAGGAGCAGAGGGAAGTTCAAGTGTCACAGAAACCCAGGGGAGACACTATTTGCACCAAACATGGGGTGAGTTGCTTTGTGTTTTTGTTTGTTTGTTTTGTTTTTTTATTATACTGGAGGCAGCGAATGTTTTTAATTGGGGATCATTTGATTAAGGCTTTGTTCTAGGAAGCTTGCTTCCTAGAACATGTGGAAGATGGTATGATTCCGGATGATATAGAGATTAAAAAGCAGAGGTATAGAGATTGCAGACACAGAGACTAAGGAGAAGACAGAAGTCCTGTTCCTGGTGAAAAATGATGGAGGGTGCTATGGTCTGAGTGTTTGTGTTTTCCCCAAAATTCGTATGTTGAAACATAATCACCAATGTGATAGTATTAAGAGGCAGGGCCTTTGGGAGGTGATTAAGTCATGAGGACAGAACACTCAGGAATGGGATTAGTGTCCTTATAAAAGAGGCCCCAGGGAATTTATGTGCCCCTTCTTCTCTGTGATGACAGAGAAAGAAGGTGCCAGGCACCGTCTATGAAGTAGAGATTGGCCCTTAACAAACACTGAATCTGCCAGCAATTTCACCTTGGACTTCCCAGCATCTAGAACTGTGAGAAATAAATCTCGGTTGTTTATAAGCTACCCAGTTTATAGTATTTTGTTATAGCAGCCCAAATAGACAAAGGAGAAACAAGATGAAGGACTTACGTGGGAGATGTTATTCCAATGCAGATTCAGTGGGACTAAGAATTGTGTGTGAGTGTATGTAAGGTGAGGTTGATAAAGAATAAGGGGTTAGGGAGAAGGAAAGAGCATAATGACTCTGAGCAGTTGCAAGTTTGGAAAAATAGGTGTATATCATTAGGTCATTTGCGCTTTCCAAGGCACTGCCAGCTTTATGAGAACAGATGCAGGGACCTCCTTGCTAATGATAGTAATCCATATTTTATGAGCTCATGTTTCACAGGGCCACAGACATCTTGCAGAGTTCTGCCCCCAAATATTGTGGGAATAATTTCTAATCTGCTCATCAGTCTTTTAGGCAAGAGGACTTCTGGAAGTCCTGCCTGCCAGATAAAATGGTGTGCACCACCAAACCTAAATTCTACATTTATGACTTTAGTATTGATTAAAGATATTATAGTGGGGTTTGTTGGCTTACTAATGATTTAAAAATTATGTTTATTTTTAAATATTTAGAAAATGTGGAAAAGTACAAAGAAAAATTACTTGCAATCCTACCACACATGGAAAAATAGTATTACTTATTTAAATAGATCATTCTCATTCTTATTTATACATATGTGTGTTTACATATACATACACATTCATAGACATATAATATATACATATTATGCATATGTGTGGGGGGTTATAGGAATCATGAAGTGCAAGCTTGTTTTGATTAGTATTCTATGAATGGCATTCTTGTCATTGAAATTTCTGAGGACAAGATTTTTAGATTCAAAATAACCCACCATCACATGTGTATATGTTAAATGTATGTGTTAATTTAACCAATCCCACTTTTGATTGGGAACATTTATTTTATTTGAGTGTAATACACTTGTGATGAACATTCTTATTTATAATTTTTTACTCATCTTAGAGTGGATTTTATGGAAAATATGGAAGTATGGAAAATGGTTAGAACATTAGAGAGCTTTTGATATATTATGAAAGTCAATTGTCTTTAGAAAGGATATTTCTAGCCCATACATTCACTAAGTTTATATAACATGACTATATTCAGCAAACCTCACAAATGGAAGATGTTATAATTTAAAATGTTTGCCAACTCAATGCGTGTTTGACATACCATTTTAATTTTTGTTTGCATTTGTTTTATTACAGGTGGGATTGAACAGATCTTTCATATGTTTTAATGAGTATTCATAAAATTTTAATAAAATGTAGTTCCTGTTCTTTGCCTACTTTTTTATTGAAATATTTTTTCTCGGTAATTTTAAGAATGACTTATATGTTAAGATATTATAGTATAATAAGATATTTATCTATCTAATGTATGTATAGGGAGAGTAGAATTATTTTTCAAGCTTGATTTTTATTTTTATTTTTTTTTGGTTTCAATGCTTATCTGCTTTAAATTTGTATTTATTCATTTATGAATTTATTTGATAAACATATTGTACACATACTATCTACCGGGTACTGTTCAAGGATACAAACAAAATAGAAAAAGTTATGTCCTCAGGTAGCTCACATGCTGGCAGGGAAGTACAGATGATAAAAATAATAAGCACATTTTAGAGCATATTAGTTGGTGATAAAAAAGTAATGAAAAAATGAAAAGAGAAGATAACCGCAGAATACATAGGATAGGAAATTCGGGGGGTTGTGAAGGAGGGCAGGTTGCAGTATAAACTAGGTGGTTGAGGGGACAGTCTTAAGAAGGAGATATTTAAGCAAGCAACTAAAGGAGAAGAGGGTGTTACTCCACTTCATATCTGGGAGAAGAGCATTCTAGACCTAGAATAGTTTTAGCTGAGATACCTGAGTGTGTTCAACAAACACAAATGTGGCCAGTGTGTCTGGAGTTGGGTGAGTAAGGGAAGAATAGGAGAGGATCCTCGTAGGCCAGTGTAAATCCTTTGACTTTTATTCTGAGTGAAATGAAGACAACTTGTAGAGTTTTGAGCAAATCTGGCTTGGATTTTTAAAGAAATCATTCTGGCTGCCCTAGTGCAACTAGACTGTAAGGGGTGAGAGGCAAGATTAGAAGCAGGAGACAAGTGAGGGAGGATATAATTGTGATACTCCAGGCAATAAATGATGATGGTTTGTCTGATAGTGGTAATTATTGAGGTGGTGAGAAGATTCTCAATATATTTTAAAATTAGTATTGATTTCATGACAAATTAAAAATAGAATGCCTAAAGGGAAGAAAAGGGCCCACAGATACACCACCGTATTCACTTGAACAACAGGAAGTATTTAATTGCCATCAACTGAGATTGAGAAGGCTATGAGTAGGTATTTGGGGGCAAAGATTAGAATTTCAATTTGGAGTGTGTTATATTTGAGAAATATACTAAAACATCTAGATGGAGATGTTGAGTAGGCAATTACATATATAAGAATTGTTTTGGGGTAAGAAGTCTTTGCTAAAGATATAAATTTGGAAGTTATGAGCATATAGATAGTATTTAAATCCAGGTGACTGCATAAGATAGTAGATAGGGAAGAAAAGAGGGCCAGGGATGGAACATTGAGACATTCCATCCTTAAAAGATTGGAGAGAAGACGAATTTGAGAAGACTGGGAAACTGTGATGCATGAAGTAAGAGAAAACCAAGAGACTCTTGAGTCCTAGTCTTGAGTCCTAGAAGAAGTGTATCAAGTAGGTGGAGGTGATCAGCTGTGTTAAATGCTGCATATGGATTGAGTATGACAAGGACCAAGGATTGACCACATTGTCACCCCTTTATGGCTTCTGCCTTTGGAGTTATACTTAGAAGGGCCCTTAATACTACAAGAAGATATACATGATTACCTATCTTTTCTTTGGCTTCAATTTTGCAATCAAATCGTTAATTCAACTGGACTTTATTTTTATTCAAGGTACAAGATAGGGATCTATTTTTTATATAAACACATTTGTATCCATTCATTACATAACTCATTCTTTCTCCACTAGTACAAAATGTTCAGCTACGGCACACACTGTTTTTACACTCTTGAGTCTTTCTCTGGAAATTCTATTCTATGATAAGAATAGCTGATACTAAGTATTCTTAAATTGTGTTTTACCTGTGTTATCCTATTTTGTCCTCATGATAATCCTATGAAATAATTTTTATAATTAAAAAATAATGACACAACTGTTGCTTAGCAAGTTTTGGGCAGTTGCCCAACATCTCCTATTTGAAATGTAGTAGAACTGGGATTTCAGTCTAGCCCATCTTCTTTCATGCTATTCCTTCAAACTATTTATTTTGTGCAAGTGCCACACTTTTAATTAATGTGTTTTTATATTAATATTAGATTTTAGATCTGACATAGCATGACCCCTTTATTAGACTTTTTATCAAACACATCTTGATTATTTGTGTGTATTTATTTTGTATAACTCAATTTAAACTAAATTTGTCCCAAAACCCAGCCCCCAAATAGCCATTACATTAAACATACATATTAATTTAGAGAGAGTTGACTTAATGATAATATTCAGTCATTCCATATAATAAATTGGTTTATTTTTCTACCTATTAAAGTTATTGCTTATCTAAAAATAAAATTTGGTTATTTTCTTTCCAAAAGAGGCCTATGAATTTAGATTTATTCCCTGTTTGAGAATCACTGCAATACATGATTCTGTTTCTCTTCCTGATTCGAACTGTACCTTCCTTGTGTTCTATCAACTTCTCCCTTTGTTCAGAAATTACGAGTCTCCCCAAGGCTCATTTATTGATTAAATAGGATTATTTCTTTAAATATCTCAGAAGATTCTTATATTTATTTGTGTATAAAACATTTAAATTTATTTAAATTAAGTATATGAATATCTTGAGCAATTTCTTGGGGAAAACCTTTCCTAATAGGATATGGAAAATATTTTTATGACACCAATTTCCCGAGGTAAAAATAGTTGAGGTTTGAAGAGGATGCTTTGAGAATTAGGTTTCTTTTACTTTGATCTCACAGTAACTACAGATAACTAAATAAAGCTCACATTTCTTAGTAAAATGTTTTCAGTTCAGCAGACACTGATAAAGGAAACATTTGCTTCAGTAACCAAAACCTACTGTCTTCAGTTGAGGGTCCACATTAAAAGGATACTACTTCTATTCTGTGAGGAAAGAAAATGTTATTTGTTTTTCTGCATAGATGTTTTGGAATACTTCCCCTTGAAATCACACAAGATTTTATACATAACAGACCTTAGAGTTATAAGTGTTAATACCCACTTCAGCTATCTGAAGCCCAACAGAGTTATTTTAAAAGAATATCTGTAGCTGAATTGACTTAAAAAAAAGAAAAAAAAACCACATGAAATGTTGAAAAGAAGAGGAAATATTTTTGATTGCCAAGATATAACTTGAACAAAGAGGTGAAGACCACTTTTAAATCTTCCCTTTCTTCTTTGTTGTTGCAATGTCTTTAAAATCCAGGATCTCCTAGAAAGACTGCCGTCTATAGTAAGCAGAGAAATTCTGGATTAGATTAGGAGGAATTGGTGATTATGATGAATCCTTTAGAACTGTGCTGAGCTAAAGTGAGTAAAAGCAATCCATATACACATGCATATTTGTAATTAACTTTCTGCTGAACCTTCAGGCTTTCACAAACTGAAGTAGGGTTTTCTTTCTTTCACTTAAAAACTCATTAAATGTCTACAAGTGAGTTTCTACATTGTAATGACCTGCTGTACTAATATAAAAATTGAAAAAATAAAATGGATGTAAAGGTAAATATGAAGAAAGAGGATAAGATTACATGAAGATCACTTGTGGTCCCATAAATGAAAAAAGGTAGAGTGGCAGGAGATTAGTAATTGCATGGTCCATGAAAACAGTTTGGGAAATTTATTAAGCCTGTCCAGAATTTTATTTAAGACTCCATATTTCAAATAAATCACACTCCATACTTTCAGGTACATCCTAGCACATACTATAATGGAAACAAATAGGTGGCACCAAAATACAAGCATAAACTAAGGAAAAGCTTGCAGTTTAAATGTGGGTTTATTTTTATTATTTATTTATTTATTGAGACAGAGTCTGGCTCTATTGCCTGGGCTAGAGTGTGGTGGCATCAGCCTAGCTCACAGCAACCTCAAACTCCTGGGCTCAAGCGATCCTCCTGCCTCAACCTCATGAGTAGCTGGGACTACAGGCATGCACCACCGCACTCGGCTAATTTTTTCTATCTTTATTTGGCAGGCTAATTTCTTTCTATTTTTAGTAGAGCTGGGGTCTCGCTGTTGCTGAGGCTAGTCTAGAACTCCTGACTTCGAGCGATCCTCCCGCCTTGGCCTCCCTGAGTGCTAGGATTATATGCATGAGCCACCATGCTGGGCCTATATGTGTTTTGAATGTTGTGGATAAGAACAACAGGGCCAGCAAAATCGTTTTCAGTAGATACTAAACCGACAGCTAAGGCTCCCATGAAGAAAATAGAAATACTGGCGAAGGGCTTTCCTGTTGCATAGTAAATGATCCACATGTGAAGTTCAAGGCCTGGTGGGAATGGCCCGTATCTCCATAAACATGGCCTCTTCAGCTGCAAAGTGATGACTGGGTGATGAGAAATCCCTTTTAGCTTTCACTTGGTTTAAGATCAGAAACTCTTAAAGCTACTCATAGTTCAATTCATTATCAGGTGATAGGCAAAAAAAGAGACCAATTAAGAAGCACAAGGACACAAGGAGCCATAGTCTTCCTCTTTTTGAATTTAGGTAGAAAGGTACTAGTGGATAAATTTCTAGAGGAAGATTTCTCACTTAACATGTTTACTGTATATTTATCATGAAATTAATTGACATGAGATTATCAGCCAGTACAGTTCCATGTAAGAATAGCCTGAATAAAAATCAGTTCAGTAATAATTGGTTGAAAAAGATATCTGCTACATGGGACAAGGATACTGCAATGGCCTTCACTAATGATTTGAGTGTTTTGCTACATTATAGAAAAAATAAATATATATAAAGTGTTTAAACATCTATGTGATTACTAATCTTTAGCCATGTTTGTTTTCATTTTTTTCTAAATATTTTCATCTTTAAGAACTAGTTTTTGGGTTATAATCAATAATTTGATAATACATTTTTAATTATTTTTAGACATCTATTTGTTCTTTTATAATCCATTCACCCAAAGAAATTGCTGGTGTGTAAATGTGTAAGATTTCTCTGTATTATGTCTGACAGATCAAACTTGTAAGCTCACTCATATATACTATTTTATTCATTCTTTCACTTCTCTTTTCCAGTTTAAAATGTATGCAAAAATTCAGCTACATTTCTTTCCAACTTGTATAAGGAGTTCCTTTATTACTTTTCTGAGAAACTTTGAATTCCTTCATGAGCTGCTTTACATACAATATCTTATTTTTGATGTTATAGGGAGAGGTGAGAGATGGAAGAAATGAAAAATGATGCAACATTGTGGATGTAATAGAGACTAAAATATAATAGATTATTATGAAAAGGTTATGCCGATATATTTGAAAACCTAGATGAAAAATAAAATTCATAAAATGGTACAAATGATCAGAAATGGCAAAGAAGAAATAGAACCTCGTCAAATCAGTAGTTTACATATTTTTCCACAATGAAAACATCAAGGCCAGATGCTTTATAGGTGAGTTATATTGAATGTAAAAGAAGCAGCAAATTCAATATTACACAAACATTTTCAGAGAATTTTGAAATACAGGTTCCACACCATTTCATTTTATAAGTACTCTACTCTTGGTCCCCAAATCAGATAAGATAGTATATGAAAGGAAAATTATGGCTACACTCACTCATAAACATTGATGCCAAATCTTAAACAAAATATTAGTAAACCAAGTCTAGTCATGTATAAAAAAGATAACATATCACAAAGAAGTTTGTTTTATTCCAGGAATTCAAGTTTAGTTCAACATTAGAAAATTTATTAGAAATCACCACCTTAACAGATTAAAAGAAAAAAGATATGATTATTTCAATGTCTGTATAATATATATAAGCCATAACTTACTTATTTACTTATGTATTCTGCCATCATGGAACATTTAGGTGTCCAGGTTTTCTAACTAGTCAATTTTGGGGCGTTTTTTTTGTGTGTGTGTGTATAATTTGAAAGCGAGGCTTACATACTAGGGGAACAAATTTGTAAGTTGCTTTAGGAACAGCTGTTGCTGTAGAGGCCCCAGTGTGGTGTTAGATGTAGTCATTCTGACTGAGTTCCCCTGTTCTCCCCCTTCCCAATTCATTTCCTGAGTCCAGTATAACCTTGATCACAAATCCTACAAGGATATTACAAAAAGGAAAAAATCACAGCCAAATCTCTTTTACTACATCCTAAACAAAATCCTTCAAATCAAATCCAGTGACATATAAAAAGACTAATCCGTTTCCACCAAGTTGGATTTATCCCAGAAATTCTAGTTAAACATTCAAAATCAATCAGTGGGATTATCACATTAATAAAATAAAGAAGAAAAAACTTGTGATCCTCTCAAATAATGTAGGAAATTATTTCACATGCTTAACAAAGGAGTAAGTTCTAGCAAGTACAATAAGGAAAGGAAATGAACTCTAAGGAGAACATATTGGAAAGGATAAAATAAAATTATCATTTCAGATATCATAGTTGTATATTCAAAATCACAAAATAACTTATAGGTAAACTATTAAAATTAACAAATAGATTTAGCAAGGTTGAAGACTACAAGCACAGCACATAAAAATCACCAGTATGTGTGTGTGTGTATGTGTATGTAACTCATATTCATTCATTACAAAATGAAATAAATTTTCAGTTGCAATATCATTAAATATCAAATAATAAGGCATACATTTAACAATAGGCATATGATATTGCTTTTAACATATGGAGAGAAACTACTAAAAATTTAAATAAATGAATAGATAAAATAAGTTTCTGTTTGGAAGACTTAATATTGAACAAATGTCAATTTTCACCAAATTGTTCCATAAATTCAATGCAAGCTCAATAAAATTCCCAGCAAGTTTGTGTGTGTGTATGTGTGTGTGTGTGTGTGTGTAAATTGACAAGTGGATTCTAAAATTGATGTGGGAATGCAAATCTAAAATAGACAAAGCAATTTAAAAGAGGATTTTCAAATCTGGGGAACTTATCAGATAGCAAATCTAACTACAAAACTGAAATAAATAAGACAACATAGTAAGAAGTCAAGGATAGACATATAGACAAAAATGACAAAATAGAGAGCTGAGAGACTCAAATATATGCAGTCACCTGATTTGTGGTAAAAACATCACTACAACTCAGTGAAAAAAGTGTGCTCTTTTTGATATATGGTGATAGTTCAATTGGATATCCATATAGAAAATAAAAATCTTAATCCTTACTTTACACTAAACACAAAATCAACTCCTGGTAGATTCTAAGTATAAATATGGAAGTAAATAACATGAGAGAAATATTTTGCATAAGGAGAGATTTATTACATAATACATGAAAAGGGTTAACGAGATAGAAAAAGATAAATAAATTATATTAAAATTAGTATTTTCTGTCAATAAAAAGATATATTATGAATCTCTAGGTTAGCTCTTAATATAAAGAACTTAGAAACCATCACGCTCATCCTTAAAACAAGATAAAGCTTGACAAATGGAAAATAAATGACTTTTCTTAAACTCATCAGAATACAGAGTCTGAAGGGCACACTTTCATCCCCAAATATGGAGAGACAGGCAAACCCAGAGATACACACCAGAAATCTCCTTAAATGGTAATTTTGTCTAATTGCTGAGCCCTGAGTGTGGACAAGCATAAAAGTGAAAAACACAAGGGAGTCACCACGACAATTTCATGAGTCTCACCACCTATCAGGTTCTAAAAGGGAGGATTGGAGAAAGATCTTTCTGTGAATTTGGGAAGGAGAGGGGAAGAATAATTCATGTGAAATGTTACCAGAGCATTCCCTATTCTCTAGTGGAGAAAAGAACTTACTAGAGAGTCTTATACTAGCTGAGGAAAGGGCATTCATCCCACTCCAGTCCTCATTTCCTGTCTTACCAAAGAGGTAAAAAAAAAAAAAATCTGTATTACTGGAGAAACACTCGTGAAAATCAGAACTCAAGACACAGAGGCCCACTTTTACATCTGAAATTTAATCACAAGATTATAGAATGCTTCCTTCTTCCACACTTTACCACCATACCAGTAGGGATCCAGTATTGTAATAGTGGATTACAGCAGAAAGAGCTGCAAGAAGCAAACTCTGATAAAAAAGACTTAGGGAAGCCCACCATAAAGAGGAAAGGCAAAGAGAAGGATAGTAGAGAAATTTGAAACCTTTGGCAGTTACAGCTACAACCAACATTAAACGCAGCTAGACTCTTAGGCAGGTAAACATACATTCTCCACATTTACAGTGTATATACTTTAGTTCTTATCATCAGATACCCTGCATCTGGCTTTCGACAAAAAAAATCACGAGGCAGACAAAACTCCAAGAAAAATATAGACTAAAGAGACAAAGCAACCATCAGAACCAGACTCAGATATGACACAGGCATTAGAACAATGAGATAGGGAATTTAAAGTAACTGTGACTAATATGCTTTTAAGGGCTTTAATGAAAGAAGTAGGCAACATGTAAAAGAAAGAGATAAAAATATAAACATAGAGATGGAAACTAAAAAAGATTTAAAAGGAAATGCTAGAAATAACCAAAAAATACTTTAACAAAATGAAGAATTTCTTTGATAGGCTTATTAATAGACTGGACATGACGAAGGGGAGAATCAGAGAGCTAAAAAGTATGTCAATAGAAACTTCACAAAACTAAAATTCAAAGAAGAAAAAATAATGATAAAACATCAGGCCAGATTATCCAAGAAATGTGGGATGATGTTAAAAAGTCTGATAAAGGTCCATTACCTATATGTAATTGAAATATCAGATGCAAAAGAGAGAGAGAACAGAGTAGAAGAAAGATTTGAAGCAATGATATTTGATGATTTTCTAAAATTAATGACAGTCATTAAACCATAGAACTGGGAAGCTCAAGAATGTCAAGTAGGTTAAATACCAAAATATCTACACTTAGGAACACCATATTCAAGCTACAGAAAACCAAAGACAAAGAGAGAATTTTGAAAGAACTCCATACCTACTGAGAAACAAGGGTAAGAATTAAATTGGACTTTTCATAAGAAACCACAGAAACAACTAGAGAGTGGAGTGAAATAATCTAAGTGCTGAAACAAAAAGCCCACTAACCTAGAATTCTATATTCAATTAAATTACTCCTCAAAAGCAAAAGAAAAACAAAGAATTTCTCAAGCAAAACCTAAAAGATTTCATCACCAGCAGATCTGCCCTAACTGGAAATGTTAAAAGATATTCTCCATAGAGAAGGAAAGTTATATATGTCAGAAAATCAGATCTACATAAAGATAGACATCAGAGATGCAATAAAAGAAGGTAAAATACAATCTTTTAGTTATTCATAATATAATCTAATAATTTTTAAAAATAATAGTAAGAAGGTATGGAGTGATTTTAGCACATGGGTAACTGAAGCAATAATAGCAATATTATAAGAGATGAGAGGAATGAATTGTGAATTATTAAAGGTTCTGGAACTACATGTGAAATGGTATCGTATTATCTGAAGATGAACTTAGATAAAAAGATATATTGGAACCTCTAAAAAAATCACTAAAAATTTCAGAAAGAAGTATAAATATATGCTAAGGAAAGAGATGCAAAAAATCATATAAAATGTTTAATTAAAACCAGAGAAGGCTGATAAAGAGGGAGAGAAAAAAAGAATGCAATGAATAGAATACATTTACAAACATGGTGGATTTTAATCCACCTATAATCAAACTATAAGAATTTTAAATCTAAATGGTCTAAACAGACTAGTTTGAAGACAGAGGTTGTCAGAGTGGATTAAAAGCAATATCCAACTATTTGTGGTCTACAAATGCAAATCCACTGTAAATATACTCAGATATGTTAAAATTTAAGGAATAGAAAAAAATAATAAAAAAATACATGCCATGTTAACACCAATCAAATGAAAGCTAGGTAGCAAAATTCATTTTTAGACAAAGAAGACTTCAAAACATGGACTATCATCAGGGATGAGTATGGCCATTACATGATGATAAAGAGGTTAATTATCCAAGAAGAAATTACAATTATAAATGTGTATGTATCTAACAATTCAGCATCAAAATTCTTGAGGCAAAACTGATAGAACTAAAATAAGAAATAGGAAAATTCACTGTTACAGATGGAGACTTCAACATATTTCTTTTGATAATTGAGATATCAAGCAGGCAGATAATCAGTAAGGATATAGTTGATCTGAACAGCAGTATCTGTTTTAATTGGCATTTGTGAAATTCTCCATCCAATGAAAGCAGAATACATACTTATACCAAATGTTGCTAATAAGAGAAATTGGATGTGGGCATATGGTAACTCTGTATTCTCTTCATAAGTTTTATGCAAATCTAAAACTGTTCTAAGATAAAAATATTTTATTAAAATAAAAAGATATATCATGAAATTGAAAAAGCAAGTCCCACAATATGGGGAAAGATATTTATAATTAATATATTAATATCTGACAAAGGAATGATACACAGAATACATATAGAACTCCTGCTAATCTATGAAAAAACAAATACCCAGTGGAAAAAAGCCAAAATGAAGAGACACTTTACAAAAGGAGTTTGAATTTCAAAAACACGTTGAATGAGGTAAAGGTAGACATGATAATGTACATATTATTTGAGTATATTTATATAACGTTCAAAAACATACAAAACTCTAATCCATAGTGCTGGGCATTAAGGTCAGAGTAGGATAATATGGGAGAGGGCATGAGAGGAGCTTCTCATGACGATAATGTTCTATTTCTGATCTGGGTGGTGTTTTCACTTTGTAAACATTCGTTGATCTATCTATACACTCAGGATTTGTGCTCTTCTCTATGTGTTGTAAATTTCAGAGCTTATTTAAAAAAAAAAAACGAAAGAAAAAATGCAGTAGAAAAATGGTCAAAGGACTACATCAGATACCATGCAGAAAGGGAGCACAAAGGACACATAAACAAATATGTTCAATCTGATTATTATCAGAAAAATGCAAATTTATGAGATTCTGTTTTACACCTGGTATATTGTCCAAAATTTGAAAGTCAGACACTATCCTGGATTGGTAAAGACATAGATTTGCAGAAAGTCTCACATACTGCTGATAAGAATATAAGTTGATATAACCACTTTTGAACAAGGTTGGCTCTTTATAGTAATTTTTACCATGTGCATATACCCTACATATACCCTACCACCCAGCAATTTATTCCGTGGTATACACCCAGACAATCTCTTGTAAATGTGCAGCAGGAGAAATGGAAAAACAGTTTGTGGCAGAATTGTTCATTATACTAAAAATTGAAAGAGTTCAATTTTTTCATCTCAAATGAATTGGATTAAAGTGTGGCGTATTCACACAAAGAAATACTATCTAGCCAAGACAAGGAATATCTAGAGGTGTGGGCAATGACACAGATTGATCTCAGAACCCTAAGAATGGGTGGAGTAAAATAAGTTACTGAAGAATACATTAAAGTAATATTCCAGGTATGTAAAGTTCAAAACCAGACAAAATTAGCCATTACATTACATTGTAGCACTTTATAGAAAAACAAGAGAATGGTTTGCAGAATTTTCTGGTAGAGAGGAGTCATGTAATCAAAGAGCTTACAGGGGAATTAAAAAATACTGGTAATGCTCTATTTCTTAAACTCTGTGGTGAGTAGAAGTATTTCCATTTTACAGTATTTTGTTTTAAATTGTATGTCTTCTTTAAATACACTTTTTACATTATCAGTAGCAGAAATTTAAAAGTTAAAGCAAAAGAAAAAGATATGTCATTATAACCACTTTTGGACTTTTGGCTATGATTTCCTGAACCAAAGCTATCAACTAAAATTTAAAAATACATTGTGTTAAGTCCTAACGTTATTTTAGAATGTGTCCATCTGATATCTTTCAGACCACGGTCATTTGAGAACAGAGGGAAGAGACCGATAGGGTAAATCACCAGGACTTGTTTACACAACAAAATATGTGGCTGGTCAAATATTCTCTAGTGATGTTTCTGAAACCAGAGACCGGAAACATACAGTGGAAATGAGACCCTTTACTATTCTTGTGCCAACACTAACAACAATTATAGCGCCATGTGAGAAGAGTTGTAAGAAATACTGCTGGGCTTTGGTGGTTCAACCAAGTCAGCAGATTTCTGTAACCGTGGAAGACTGGACCCCAAAACTTTACAGTTGTCAGCAAGGAATGGCTCTTAGACATTAAACTGATCCCTGATAAAACAACCCCAGGGTCATGAGAAGGCTACTCTGCCAATTTCATTTCACTGTGGGATCCACTGACATCTGGCTCAGCTGCGGAAGCTGGAAAACTTCTTTAAAATTCTCTTGATAGTAAAAATGGACATGTGGAAAACATTCTAATCTGTTAATCTTTGGTGCTCCTGAAAAAGGGACATTTGGCTTTATACTTCATGATGATAAATATGAAACCTCCAGATCTGGTTGTAAATAACTTAATGGCATTTGAATAAAGAAGAGAATTTTCATTTCCCAAATGTGCCAAAAGATGAATATGCACCTGCATCAACCCCATGACATAATAAGCCCCCTGGATTTGTTGTTTACACTTGGGTTTTGTAATTTGTCCATCTTTACACTGGTTCCATTTGGCCAGTGAAAATTACTGAACAGTAGCAAGTAATATCTTTTCTTCCTTGCTCTCCTTCCCTACCTCCCTTCCTCCCTACATTACATTGTGTTACATATTTCAAATAATCAAGGAAATCACACAACAATAGAACTATTATTATAAATGGCTGGTTGGTTTCAAAGATCTACACATTGTAGAAGCTGTCTCTATCTTGTAGACCTACAGGACAGAAATAAAATATACCCATGATGTAGACTTCTTGTTCTTCCTCATTTCAGTTTCCAAACCAAGTCAGTCTGCCTATTGCTCCCCACTCATGTCACAAGCTCTCTTGCTGTTTGAGTGTTTCTTTTTGTCTTTTTAACAGTTATTGTCCCTTTTTTTTCCCCAGTTTTTGTTACTTCCACTAGGTACCTTTTTAAGCATTTATATATTTGTTCTAATTTAAATGCTACTCCAAAAGCTCTGGATTGAAACTCAGAAAACTAATTAGAGAATAAAAGAAGTATTAAACAATTAAATATATGTCTACATAGTTCCCCATTAAATATTAATACATGCTACTCAAGAGGTTTGTTTTTCCTATTCCCAAACACCCGTTGTGGTCTCTAGTCAAAACAAACATGCAAATAGATAAATACATTAATAAATACATACATAAATTAATTAAAATAAAGCACAACTATTGCTTCTGATGAACCAACTCATTATTATTATTATTTTTTTTTTTCTGATTCTGTCTGGAGTGCATTAGCTCCTGAAAGGGAGAGTGTAGAATGGTAGTTATAATCAGTGTCTCTGGAATCTAAATGTCTACCAACAAATTTTGACTTTGTGGTCTTGGGCAAATTACTTAACTTTTTTATGCACCATGTTTCTTCCTCTATAAGTCAGGGATTTTAATAGTATCTACTTGTGAGCTATTGTGAGGATTAAACAAATATGGACTCTTAGTAAGCACTGAGAATTTAAGCTTTTCTCGTCCTTCCCTATTGGCTCCATTCCCCAGCAAACAGTCAATCTAGTCTCCATGCCAGAATCCGCAATTTCACTCAATCGTTCCACCTTTCTGCCAGAAAGATGGTTTCTTTCAATCGTGAGTCTAAAAGACAGGTTTTAATGGGGAGTGGCAACATCACATTATGACAGCACATTTCTGCATTCCTCAAAAGAATTCATCAAGCATTTATCATGCACCATGTATAAGGCATCTTTCTTTGCTAGCTACTAGATTTGACTGGTCGTTTTGTAACTTTATAGTGTGGGAGGTGTGTATCTGTGAGATGGTATCAGGTCATTCATTTTCAAAGAACTCCACAGTCATTAAACCTGAATCCATTGTTAACTTATAATGTGCATTGTTCATAAGAACTCAAGTTCTGCTTAAATCCTATAGTGGCTTCATCGCACCCTTCATATCAAGTCCATAAAATATATCCCAAACCTGTGCTGGGCTGACCTCAGCCTGTCTCATCTCCTGTCATGCTTCTTCTCACTCCCAAATCTCCTGGATGGGAGGCCTTTCTGCTGGCTACTCTATATGATACACTTCACCTTCTCTACCTCTGGACCACCCCTATTCGTCTTTTAAGGCATGATTATAATTAGGCTGAGTGAATGATGACAAACAAAAAATAGCACAGTCTGCATGACTCAATTTACATAAATTTTTAAAACATGCAAACAAAAACTATCATAACCAAAGCAGAACAGTATTTCACCGGGGCTGGGGGTGGTGGTGGGAAGAGGAAGGAAAGAGGAATTACACAGGAGAGCAAGGAAACTCTTGGTGATGATGAATATGCTTATTATCCTAACTGTAGTGATAGTTTCACAGGAATACACAAATGTCAAAGCTTATCAAAGCACATGACTTCAATATGTGCAGTTTATTGTGTAACCATTATACCTCAAATAAAACCATTGTTTAAAGTTAAAAAAAAAAAAGTCATGATTTAGAAAGACTTCCTGAACAAGTGTTTCTGGGCTGTGCTCCCAGACCACATGGCACCTCCCCTATCAGAGTACTGTTAACTGAGTATCTCCACTGCCTATTTGCACATCAATGCACTGATTATTAGTAAGGAGAAAGATTGTGAATCATGGGTAGTTGTAGCCTCCGCCACAGTGTCTAGCACATAGTACATGCTTGATGTTCAACACCCATCTCCAAGGAATGATTAAATACTGTCAAAATGTAGTTTCAATAGAAACACTTCATTTCTTACATCAATGATGAGAATTTTTTTTAAACTTACTTAATTTCCTTGTGGAATAGTAGATGATTACTTGATACGATATTGCCTAAGGATACAAAATGAGCAGCACACCTGCACTTAATGAGATACACTCTGGGAATCTTTGCAAAGTGATTTAAAATTCAGAAGCTCTCTGTTTTTACGTGAGCCAATTTTCCTTAATGATCTCTCATTCTTACCTGTATGTAATTTATTTCTAGTAAAGATTGGATGTAAGGTGGAACAGAAAGGAGATAATATGTAGTCAGGTAGCATGGCAACTTATTCCTACATGCACATACATAAGAACCCTGAACTAACACTTTGTCGAAACATTTACAAAAAAAATGATGAAAATATTCACATAGAGAAAATAAATTTTACATTATATGGAAGTTGTATAGTTGAACTACAGGCATGGGAATCCATAGAATAAATGCCTTTTACATGTGTGCAGAGCTTCTTAAAGTGAGACATTCATTAGTCGAAGCCATAATTTTACTCCAGAAATATGGCTTCTTGGAAGAAGCAATGTTTTGAGTTGAGGAAGAATTAATTAATATATAGGTGAGGATTCCAGGCAGAAAAGACATTATGGTAAGGACAAAGAATTAGAAAGAATATGGGAGCCTCTACAAGACATTTTCTGTTGCTGTAACATTGTTCAAGACAATGATAACATAAAGATAATGGTAAAATTACATAATGTGAGACAACGATAAATGATGAGGCTAGACAACATATTCAAATGCCAAGCATCAAGGGCCTCATTAATAACAGTAAAAATCATGGACCATATCCAGCAGATGATGGAGAATCACAAAGGGTTTTAAGTAAGGAAATGATATTTGTACTTTAGGTTTGTATTTTAGAAGAATCATCTTTGTATATCGATAGAAGATAGATTTAAGGGGCAGGGGACAAAACAGATCAGATCATAGACTCAGTGAATCAAGCATGAGATATTGAAGGCCTTGTTTGTAGGGCATGCATAGTACAGAGGAGAAAAGGGCAAATCGGAAATTTATTTAAGAGGTAATGGCAGGATCTCAGGATTGACTGGGTATGGAAGGCAAGAGAGAGGGAAGAAACAGCTGAGTTTTGTGCTTTTTGCATGAGTGATGAGGTGGGCGATGATCAAATGTTGTCATGTAGATCCATTTGTTAAACTGCATAACTGTCTTCCAGAGCAGAGATACTTGGGCCTAAACGAGGCCGGGGCAGGAGAAATAGAAGAAGCAAAGCACGAGAGTCATTGCAAATACTCAAATTAGCTCACAGAAGTGGGACTTGATCATCAGATTACTATGGCAGTTGACAAAGCCCTTCTTCTTCATTTCCAGCCTTTAATTACTGCTATTCTAAAATTCTTCTTTTATCAAGCTTCCTACAAAACCATGCTTCCATCCTGCATGATCAGTGATATTATCTCTTGATTAGTTGAAATAATTAAATCCACCAGGCATAATCTTGCTCAAAGTTCTGCCCTACTTTGCATAAAGGTTTATTGAATAGGATTCTGAGCGTGGTCTCCACAAATAGACTCTGAACTCAAGAATCTTATAGTCTGGCATACTTTCATCCAGCTTTTATTTTCACCTTAACATGTCTTTGGAAAATTATTCATTTTTCATTACTAATGTCAGTATACAATAAAGATGAACCACAGTGGTTTTAGAGTCAGATAGTCCTTAAAACATGATGGGTGTATATGGAAATGTAAAAAAGAAAAAAAATCTTAAAAATAAGGGATGCTTTTAACAACATAGATTTTAAACTGTTACAAAATGGAATTTAGTAAGAATGAATACAGTATTACCAAGTAAGGTTTATACCAGAAATAAATGAAAGATTAGTTCAATATCAGGGAATTGATGTGATTAGAACATTAACAGATTAGAGGAGAAAATAATTTCTTAAGGAAGGCAGAAAAAAATTATAAAATCAAACACTTTTTTCATGGTAAAAATCTTTCTTAAACTAAGAGTAAATGGAAACTACCTAGAGCTCATGAAAGGTATCTTATCAAAAATCTACAATGATTATTATACTTAATGATGAACTTTTAGAAACAGTCTCAATTTAAAAAAAAAAAAAAAAACAATAAAACAAGGTACCCATGATGGGCACACTAAAAGCCAGACTGAAGCATTATAAAAGGTGTCCATGTAACAAAAACATTTGTACCCCATTAATATTTTTAAATAAAAATACAAAACAGAAACAAACAAGGTCCCCATCACTGTTTCAGCTTTATATAGATTTTAGCCAATGTAATAAAATAAATCATAAAAAAACAGGAATTAAAAGTTATCTATATTTTCAAATGAGTCATAATAATGATATCTTTCTCTTGGATTTTCATATAGATAATTGTATTATTTGCAATAAGGATAACTTTGTTTTTTTGTGTGTGTAGTAATGGTTTTATATATATAATATACTGGAGATATGTGTGTGTGTATATACATATATATATATATATATATATATAGAGAGAGAGAGAGAGAGAGAGAGCGCATTTGACAAAGTTTCAGGTTAAAAAGTATTCAGAATAACAGTGTTCTGATAGAGACATAATAACCAATCAAGATAGAAAAAAATAATATTCAAGTTAGCAACAAAGACTATAAAGTACCGGAAGGAACCAAATGTGTTAAAATTAAACATGTGTTAAAATTAAACATATGTTAAAACTTTTGTTGTAAAACCTGTATATCAAAATTAGAAAACGTTATTGAAAGAAATATAAATAAATCAGAATAAATGGCTAGATATATAATGTTCACAGATGGAGAGGATTCAGCATCATAAAGATGGCAATTGTCCTGATTTTGGTTTTTTTAAATGAAATTAAGTTTTTTAAAACGGAATCCTAGCAGCCTTGTTCATGAAACTTGGTAACCAAATTCAAACTTCAAATGGGAGAGTAAAAAGCACAGAGTAAACAAAACACATGTCCAAATATGAGAGGAGAACTTGCCTTGTTGGTTTCAACGACTTATTTTTGATGAAGCAGCCTCCAGGACTAATTCTATCCAGACTCCTAGGCAGCCTCTCAGTGCCTGGGCTATTAATAAGACTCAAAAGTAGGAGAAGGTAAAGGAAGGCCTGGGCTCTGAGTGCCAAAACTCTCACACTGTTAGGAATTTGGGTTCACCTGTAGTAAACTTTAGGAGCTTCTGTGGATATGCACACGGAGGAAATGCTGTTTGACTGTTAATTTTGACTAGATTGTTAATCTGAATGGGTTTGAGTCATATTCAGGACTGAGAATGAGGCCCATTACCATTATGTGATTTGCTTGTGTTTTGGAGAACTTTGTAGGGGCTATATTTATTTAAAATATCATTTAGGTGGTTATCCATGCACATACACAGAGGCCTAGAAGGAGAAACATTTTCTTAAACTCAAAAACGTAATTAAATTATTAGAAGTCAAATCAGTCAATGTTATGGATTTGGGATAGGACATTTACATCTCTCACTTTTGTCCTGTCTTATTTGATTTCTGTTTGCAACTAAGGGTCTAAATGTTTTCATCTGTAATAATCTTGTGAGATTTTTTTTAAAAACCAGTGAATCATCTTCATGAAAATCTAATGACATAGATTTAATTATGCTTTCAGTTGATATTACACATTATCAAATTAAGAGAATTAAATTCTCTTGGAATTTGATGTTACTATTGATAGTTAATAATAACTATTCACAGCTATTGTCCCTTGATATGTGTATCTTGAAAAAAAATTTAATTCTACATAATTATACAAGAGCCTCATTACCAATTTAATAATTTAAATGTAAAGTATACAACAAGTGAGGAATGAAGCAAGCTAAAATCAAAATTAAAATAAGATATTATAGTCTAGAGCATTGTGTAGTTCCTGATTTCCACCTGTTTTGTATTCTCATTTTTCTCTTTTTCTTTTTTTTTATGGTCCTGTTATGCAGAGTATTGCCCTGGAGGTGCAACTTAAAACATTCAAGAGTTTGGAAATATTTTATTCTGAAAGTATATCCCAAGTGTTCTCTCAGGAAAGCAGGGGTATGTAGAATAGAGAAACAAACAGCTCAATCAGAAACAGAACAAAAAACAAAGCTCACTTTCTTTTAGTGATGATTCCATCTGGAGAAGGGCCTGGGGGTTACTAGATTTAGGGGGAAAAGAAAGTGGATATTTTGTTTGAAATACGTAAAAGTCCGCAGTTGCACCAGTGTTTCAGACCAAAATTCTTTATATTTCTATTGTTATCTTTTGAAGCACTTGTATCAAAATATATTTATTGTCTTACAGGAGCCCTGAAAATGTGTGTATTCTAGCATAACTTTTCTGGAATTTTCTCTTTAATAGAGAGTTTTAAAGTAAGAAAACTAAAGCATACGAGTAAATAATTTAAATCATGAATTATGACATCTTTTTTTTTTTTCATTTGCTTTAAAATAGCTATGCACTCAGGCTGTTTCCACAGCCTTGCAATTATGAATTGTGCTGCTATAAACATTCGAGTGCAGGTAACTGAGTAGCACCTAAGTGGACACATAGGTACTACAGTAATAGGGTATTGGGCAGGTGGGAGGGGGGAGGGGGGCGGGTATATACATACATAATGAGTGAGATGCGCACCATCTGGGGGATGGTCATGATGGAGACTCAGACTTTTGGGGGGAGGGGGGGAAATGGGCATTTATTGAAAAAAAAAAATTAAAAAAAAAAATAGCTATGCAACTTTTCACATTGTTAAGACGACTTTTTTTCCATATATCATTTATTGCTCTTCTCAGGTAACGGTTATAGAGTCAACACCTCAAATCTAGCATAATTTCTTTGTGAATTTTGACCATACATATTGTTCCTGTTGGGAAGAGATTCCTTGTACTTTCCATGCACAGTTTTCCTTTACATAAGGCTTTTAATTGTGATGGAGTCAAGTGTTGGGTCTACATGTTCTGCAGTTAATTACTCCTGAGAATCCTATTAACTGAAATGTATAAAAACAATATAAGATCCAGAAAACTGTTTGAGTCATGCCACAGGAAGTTTGTATAATCAGTTTGATTATTAAGTGGTGTTCAAAATAATTCTTAGATCACTTTATGGTAGCTTTTCCAAACACAGGTAAACATGGCTGGCATTTTCATTGATCATTTGTATGCTCTAGTTTTAGATAAATTTGAAGAATGGATAAGTCTATTGTCACAATATATAGGGATTATATTTTGAAACTTAAATCTCCAGACAAAATTAAAAATCACCTGATTGTTGTTCCAAAGATAGGGGCTGAAGGCAGGTATGTGAGGGAGAGAGGAGAGATCTGGAGGTCATGGGAGGAGGAGAGAAAGCTAAGATGTAGTATAATTGACAAAATGGACAAACCTAGAGATTTAAGAGATGAGCATATGTGGTGAACACAAGAAGGGAAAAAATGACTTTATATATAGTTGCAACCAATAAAGATGAGAATTTTGAGGAAGGCAAAGTCCCAGGACAGCAGATAGGCAGCATTTGAGAAAAGAAGTAACTCATATTTTAGAAAAATAATCATAGAGAAGCAAAGCAGTCTTTCTTATCACATTTCTAAATTTATGAGGTATTTTCATGTAGTCTTCTTTATTTGTTGATTCTTGTTTTTGACAGAAGTTGGCATTAGGCTGCCCCAAAGGCCCCATAATCACTTGTATATATGGCATATCTGATGAGACAAAAAGATATTTTGGTCTTGAATTGCTATATTTGGTAGGAATGTCGTTTGTATGGACTATAATGAATCATATGAGCCTTCTGCCATATTAGTAAGCAACCACCCTATGTTATATTCTTATTTATTCTTTCCACTATTTGAACTTTCTTTTTCTAAAATTAGAGATAAATTATTCTCATTAGCAATGTGCTTTTTAGTAGTTCTTTACAGCTGTGTATTTTAGAGCACTCAGTTTTTTATTGACTGTGTTGAGTACTTCTTCAGTTTATTTCAGTATGAATAGTCAAATCAACTGTACCTGTGTTTAAAATATAACTCTTACCTTGTAGATAATGTTGAAGTAATTTGACGGTGCTTTTTAAAATTCTGATGAAATTATGGTTACCTTTTCTTGTTTAAAGGATGATTTTAATTTTAAACGGAATACCAAAACAGGACAGTTTTTAGTAAGTGAATTTATTTGTCAAAGTAACATGAAAAATATTAGTTATATTCTTGTTCTTACCATAAGCCAATATTCTATCTAACCTTTACTGTATTTCAAACTTAGCAGCATCTTCATATATTTGATTGTAGCCTACCTCATCCACCCCTAAGGGTTAATTTTTTTAATTAGTAGGTGTTGAAACACTAGCCAAATTTTGTGATCGCAATAGTATTAGATGGACATAGTATTATAAATTACTTGGAGAATTACAATGTGAGTTGCCTTTCTTGTCTCATTTTTTTAATGTTCAAAGTACTCTATATATGTCACTCACAGTTGGAGATTTCAGAAAGCCAAGGAATGTGTTCCACATGTTTCTTCTTTTGACGCTTTAAAAAAACCCATTTACTCTAAAAAAAAAAAAAACACACAAAACTTTACTGCTTTAAAAGAATGTCTAGATTTACTAAAAAAGAAACTATAGCAGATTATTATTCTTTAGTATGTTTATACAGCTTGTCAACAAAGCACTATAGAATAGATTCTACAAATTACATTTTTGTTGTTGTTGTTGTTGTTATTTTATTTCCACATTTAGGGCATAAGGTTAAATTATTTTGGCTCCAAATCCTGTGGCAGCACCCAAAGGACAAAAATCTTAATAAAACGCATTGATTGTTTTTCATGAGAAGATGTTAATATCATGTCTTATACTTTATACATTTCCTAGATATATCCTACTTAACATTACTCGGTCAGGTAAATATTTAAATGTTGCTTCTTAACATTACTCAGTCAGGTAAATATTTAAATGTAGCTTCTGTTGTAACAATAAATAAGCAATGTTGACATTAAAACTTACTGTCATACTAAATCTCAGAAATTGCAGGGTTAAAAAATGACACCAAAAATGTTTAGATACCTCGACAACAGAGCTCACAAGTAACAATAGAATAATGCCCTCCATGTTTGGATAAGGGTCACAGTTAAGTGACTTTGATATATCTA